TATACTGTACCGTAAGTCTTATACATCTCAAACTAAAGAAAGGAGGACTTGCCAGCAACGCATTCAGATGAAAGTTTTGAAATGTTTGTTTAGAACGATGAGAGAAAAAAAAAACGGCTGTCTTATGCAGTTGCTTTGAGATCGAGACCTTTCAGTATTTTTGAGAGTTGTGAGACGCAAGTTGTTGGGGGGTATTTCCGAAAGCAACTTCGCGGTTAGATGTTATTCATGCTTTATTATTGCATCTCGTTCGTTGAAACTTAACCCATGGAGTTTTTGAAAGTAATCCTGCTCCGAAAAGGCAATATCAATATGTCATCCCTAAAATAGCCCGAAATTCCCAGAGGCTTTCCTTGATTCGTTTCTTTATAAAAACCCTTCCGGAGTTTCGTCGGATCTGATGAATGCGCTGCGACATTTCCTGCTTTAAATTTTTGAAAACGTTCAAGGAGTTGCATGTACAGTATTAATTTTCTAAAAGCAGGTGCGAAGACCTTCTTTGAACCTGTTCAAGGATTGTGGTCTTCTTACACGATGAACTGCATTCCAGCATTCATGTTTAGAAACAACTTCCTCATCTTTTTATTCGCCCTGAACTTCTTTTCTCCTTCAAGTTGCCTCAGAAATTGATGAGCAAAATAGTCAATGTCAGATTGTTGAAATCATCATGAAAGTCCCACTCGATCATTGGGGCTTTTACGGTATGACTTCCTCGTCGGCTTCAACCCCACCCCGTTTTCTTACCAAATCTTGAAAAAGAACGAACGATTAATAACAAAGAGTTCCTTGACTATCTTGAACTTCTGACTTTAAAAATTTGGCCAATTCGGTAACGCTCTTATTACATTCTTCACAATGAAGAGAAAGCTTCTCGACAAAAATAAATTAATGAAAAATGAACACTATCTGCAGTAGGGTTAAACACGCCCCTTTAATGCAACTGGAAAATTTAATGAAAAGTTTTAGAATTTATGCCGAGCTAGTTTCATCATTTTTTTCTGGTAAATCTCGGAGCTGGAGAAAAAGCGTCAAACGGTGTAACATCAGTGAAATATCCATCCTCATATATACTTTTCTGGTTTTTCGTCTCCGTTTAAGCTTGTCAAATAAGAGGAAGTTAGTTTACTCAAGAAGCAAAAGCAGTTGAGCGGAAAAGTGATAAAACTACCTGCAATGACCGTTTGCAAATGACTTGCAAATTTTGTGTTAAGATTCTGGCGTCTGTTTATCCAAGTTCCAACTTTCACGGTAGAAGCGACGCATTCCGTATTCTTCAGCTATATCCTGAATACATATTCGATTCTCAGTTTTTCGATGACAAAAGTTGCGGATTTCGAAAAAGTGCTCTGCTTGAGTAGCTCTTTTTGAGGTTGCCAATTATTTTTTCTAAATGATAACCCTTCTCTTTTCTTCTGAAGCTTCGATTAGCTATCCTCAATGCATATTCGATTTGCAGTTTTTCCATAAAAGTTGCGGTTTCGAAATTTCGGAAAAGGCTCTGATTGAGTAGCTCTTTCGGAGATTGCCAGCAGTATTTTGCTAAAAGAAATCAATTCTCTTCTCTTCAATTATGATAATTATTGTCTTCTACTCATGAAAGATAATTTTAACATTACGCGAGAATTATTTCTTATTAGCCCATTGTGCAATGAATAAACGACTCCCTCTATTTTCAAGCACTTGATGTGATCACAAATTGAATGCAATCCAAGACTCCTAATAAGGCTTAAGTGGCCAGGGGGTAATTTTCCGGAATGAGTGAGCTGCACGATCCATCAATGGTTTGACGCTTCCAGGATGACCCATCACACTTGCAGGCGCCGCCGTCAAGGCAAAGGCAGTGCCCTCGAAAAAGATTGCAAAAATAAAAGATAACACTCCTCGCCAATTTCAGTACTTACTAGAACAGATAGCCGACAAGTGAAGCCATTCCGCCGGGAAGTGTTTGATCGATGGTTCGGGTTCTCGAGCTCCCGAAGTCCCGAGACCTGCGACATTTCTCACGGCTGACCGCTTTATCTCCTCGCTAATATGCTTAAAAAAAA